CCGTAATAACGATATCCATATCTCGTTAGTACCTCGACCACGGACGATTTAAGATTCAGTCATATGTAATTTGTATTTCACAATCACAACTCCTTGTGATTAACAAATCACCAAGACTTGAATCTACGGATTCTATTATTTAATTTATTAGAATATTAATTCAATTAAATAATAAATATTGCCATATATATGCATTGATTATATATATTCAAAGTGTTTATGTCCAAAGTTGATTGGACCTAGGGCATAACACTTACAGTCCCTTCATCAAATATCTGTTGCAAAAACAGGCCCGTGCAAATCCTTCATCAAATATCTGTTGAAGGCTCATTTGCACTGTGATGGTTGCGATTCCAAATTCCTAAAATGCATTCGCTCTCATGCATGGTTCATCCAACATTTTCTTCTCAAATCTCACTTTTTGAAATAAAATTTTCAGAATAATTTCTATGCTTTCATCCTTGTTTTCTCTATTTTATCATGGTATTCTTTTAGATTCTGCGTTTTATTTGTACCTAAATTTGTATGAAATGTTTTTTCTTTTATTTACTGGGTTTACAATGTGTTCTTCTCAATTTCGTTATGTTTTTATTTGACTTTGTACTTTCCGATGGTTTCTTCATTTTTGCACTTGAATAATATTTGTAGGTTTTTTGTATGTGAAAAAGGTGTGAAGGCTTTGACAATCGATGAATTTTAGAAGATTACAGTTACCGAAAGATTTGATCCGACAAAACTCCACGAGGAAGTGGAGGAGAAAACCCACAAAAAAAATGGAACTGATTTCACCAAGGCAGCAAAAAAAGAATGACAACAAAAAAGAATGCAAAGGGCAAAGAAAATGGAAAAGAAGACAAAAATACAAAAATTAAAAGTGAAGACAAAAAATGCAAGAACAAGGCGGTAATGCTCATTTGTATGTTTCTATAAATCAAATTGGAGTGACCTCTTTATCTGATTATGTTGGTTTTGGTCTTTTTAACCACACCTATCCCCCATCTTTAAGGAAAGGCCTTGTGTTTATGGTCTAAGAACTTGTGGTAACACTTTTTAATGTTGTTTTGTCCTTTCATCAATACTGGATTCTTCAATTTTTAGTTCATTTTTAAGTTCTTTCAAAATGCAGGAATTTGGAAACATTGGATGACTTCTAAACTTAGACATTTCTTCTCAACAATTTGCATCACTTTTATCTAAAAGCCAATCATGGACCGAGGAGAAATTTTTGAAAATGCAGTTGACAAAGTTTGATTTCCACCCATATGTGAAATAATTTCTCTAATTTAGTTTGGTAAGAGCTCCAACTATTCTCATCTGATGTAAGGGATAGAAGATGTAATTTTGCTTCAGATCTTTCTCTTTCTTAATTCATTGTAAGGACTTTTATGCTAGAGTTATTTATTTATTTTTTCCCAAATGTACAAAACGGAATGTATTTCATGATAATCCGACACATTTAACACGCTAATATTACCTTCAAAATAACCAAGCCCGTGCATTACACAGGCAAAGACTAGTGTCATACAAAAGAGTAAAGATTTAGGCTAGCGCTTATAATACAATCATGAACTTTGACATCCACAATATGGTATCATATAAAATTGCCAATTCTGGTTTTCCAGGTAAAATTATATTGGAGATGTTGCTATATACGAACCTCCTCTAATGAATTATAATTGTCTGCAATCCTCGAATACCTCCTGTCTAGCTTCTTTTGAGATGGAGCCCCATAATTTTGAGGAGGAACATAGTACTGATTAGGTTCTGGATAAGGATGCTTGCACAGGATAATTCTGAGTGTATTGTGAATTTATTGATTGAGGATATTCTTGTTGCCACGAATTCGAAGAACTGGATGAGAATGATGAAGATTGCATCCAACTACCCCCATCCCTACGACTTGAACTTTTATTTCCCATCAATTCAATTCAATCCAATATACCTAAAAATGCTTAACCCGAGAATCCTAGAAACTTTACCCCGAATATCTAACAAAACTCAGGAAATCCAAAGGGCACTTCAGAATCAATTACCCCAAAAATCCAATACACTGCCCAGGATAAAAAAGCTAGGAATAAAACAAATCCTCAAATCAATTTCACAAGAATCGAATGATAAATCTAAATTCTTGCAGACCAATCTTCTCTTAGATCAAGTCAAACACAGGCCCAAATAACAAAACTACCAAGAAACCAAATTGGTGAAGTTTTAAATGCTTTATTTCTAATTGATTTGTTGTCATGTGGTTATGTATTATCATGAAACACGAGAAAAATTCAACGAAATATGAATTTAAGTTGCCCAGAAAAAGAGAAGACGACAGATGAGACTTCGTCCACGCTGCGCCGACCTCTATAGACTATTACCGACCTATATATAAACTTCCAGATGCATGCATGGTTATTAGACGTTCAATAACTCTAATTTACTGAAATATACCAATCCACAGGAAATTATATTCCACAGAAATTGAAAAGTAATAACTACTACACACGGTACAAGCAAAACCAGAAGGAAATAAAAAAAAGAAGGAAAAAAACTGGAAAACTGGTTCCAAAAACACAATTGAAACAACAATTTCCATTGAAAATCTAAGTAACAATCCGAAAAGAAATTAAAAAAAAAAAAAAGAAAAATAAAACTAAACTTCTAACAATACACGTAGACAATACAAAACAAAACCTGAAAAAA